ACTTTGCTGTTTTATGAGGATCTTCTTGAAGGACACAATGGCCCAAAGGCCCCAAACCGAGCAGTCCTTGAAGGCAAGCTGGCCATTAACGTTTCAGCATGGGAAGCGGTCCCTGAGATTCCAGCCAGGTGGGTGACCCAGATGGCTGAAGGCTGGCAGGCAGTCCCAGGAATCTACATGGCCGGCTTGACAGGCCCACCTTCTCTTTTGGCAAATGGCACTCTGGCCATGTGCTTTACTTGCAGGCCACTGCGCTGCGGTGGCCTCTACCTAGAATTGGTCCAGCCATCTGCAACCGGATTCACTCATGACCAAAAATACACACACTCTGTCAATGTGGTCCAAGGGGAACTTTCTCATCAAGAGACTTCATTCCGGGTGACTGACTGATTGCTTTGGCTGATTTTGGTATATTGTAGGATCTATAAATAATCGCCTAACACCAGGCAGGATGTTAATTATAAGGCAACAGTGATTTAGAAATAATACATTATTTAGCATGTCCTTAAATTGTACCTCAATCCCCCTTTAATACCATTCCATAAATGGAATGACATCAGTGGTTTCTGAGAGTAATTTGATGCAGGCCAGTGGGTCATCTGGGCTTCCAGTCTGGCTGAATGTAAAAGGTGCTCTTGTAGGCCCCGGGATGAAAGCAGACCCTTTGGTTCTCAATGTCAGCCTCTGGTCATCACCATCCGAGACTGCAGCAGTGTTCCTCAACTGGCTGAGGTTTGTCACTAAAGGGTGCTCCTTTAAGATTGGAGAGAGATCTCTTTGTGACCCCTACATACCATTTAAATGCCACATATTTTAAGTTCAAAATACCAATTTGGAAATACTGATGATGTTTTGAAGTTTTAATTTAAAGTTACAGGATCTTTAAAAAAAAAAAAATCACTCCAGAGGTTTAAAAAATAATGGATTTATAATCAACTTTTTTCTATAATTAGACATACTACTTCAGGACACATATGAGTATTTGAAATAAGAAGCCAAAATAAACTTACAAAACATTTACTTCACTTTCTACCACTTGAGCCCACAATAAAGCTTGTTATTTATCCAAGAAATCTGATGTAGTGTAGGAAAAAAAAAAAGCCCAATTAAATTGACTTTATAATATAAATTAAGGTTGAAATACAAACCTGGCCTTTTATTTGCCCAGGATCTGATTAAAGAATCTTACGGGGCTGGGGATGTGGCTCAAGTGGTAGTGCGCTCGCCTGGCATGCGTGCGGCCCGGGCTCAATCCTCAGCACCACATACAAACAAAGATGTTGTGTCCGCCGAAAACTAAAAATAAATATTAAAATTCTCTCTCTCTCTCTTAAAAAAAAAAAAAAGAATCTTACGGTATGATATTTCTTATAACCAAAGAAACTGTGGATTTCTAAGTAAGTAGCACAGGTTAACTATAAAATCTTGATGATGCAATTTTTTCTAACATCTACAGGAATTTGAGAAAAAGTAAAGCCCTATTATGTACTTTTTTGATTTAAAGTTTTTAGAATTCCACATTCCTCCTAATTTTTATTTGCAAGGGAAACAAAGCACCACTTTCACCAAAAGATATCAAACTTTTGTAACTAGGAATTTGGTTTCTATATTTATCTTGGATAAGGGATTCCAAGAGTAATCACAGTAATGCAAATTCAATGCAAAAAATAACTGAATTTTATCTTACTTTGTTTTTTTTGTACTGGGCACTGAGCCCAGGGGTGCTTTACCACTGAGCTACATTCCCAGTCCTTCTTACTCTTTGAGATAAGGTCTTGCTAAATTGCTTAGGATGGCTTTGAACTTCTGATCCTCCTGCTCCAACCTGCTCAGTCCCTGGGATTACAGGCATGTATGATCATACCCAGCTTGCTTTGTTTTGTAATGAAAACTCCCATCAGTTTATTTTCCATTGGAAGTTCTATTCAAAGAAGGCAAATACATCCTAGCTTCAGACCATAAAAACTACCCTGAGTGGCACTGAGCCAGTTTAACAGGCTATATATATCATGGCTTGGTTAGAGAAATTAAAAACACTATTAAAACATTCTCAAGCTTAACATGTTACATATTAAATTGTTCTCTTAACACAAATTGTTTGAGCTCAATAATTTAAAAGTCTCCTACACAGGGATTAAAGTCCCACCTCCCAACCCCACATACACTCCATATATTGAAATCTACAGATGAAAATTTCAAAACAAGTTTGTTTTTTTTTTCCCACCAGCAAACATTTGTTCATTCCAAATCAAGGGTTTCTACTTGCATTTTTCACCAGTGAATCTATTAAGCAATTATGAATCAGTGTCACTAAACAGCCTGAATTTCTGCAGTAACCCTGTGCATTTATTACCTTGGTTTTTATAATTCTAATTTTTGCAGAATGTGATTCCTTTCACCCTGGTGGCTAAGCATATTTACAGAATAAGCCACACAGTAGACCTACCTATGTAATTGCCTCAGGTAAGATGATGCCCGAATGAACACATCTGTTCCAAGTCCCAAACTTTAAAACAAATTTAGCTTTTGATTTCAAATTTCAAAATAAAAAGGCTTATCCCATAATACTATAAACTATGATTCTTTTTTCAATAAAAAAATCCACAAAAAAATCAACCAATTATAAATGAAAAGAGCATTTAAGAAATGCTGGCCCCACCAGAGGGAGTTCACATTTGGAAGTCCAATGTGTTACCAAGTGAAAATGAGTGCCTTCAATCAGTGTTGGTAACAAACTGACTCATGAATGAAGAGACTTCCTGAAGAACTTAACCACAGAGGGCAGAGCCTACATTGTCCTATCTGTATCCCCAGTGTGATACAGCAGGGGATTGGACACCCAGGCCCTAGAACGAGATCCCCTGGAAGGCTGAGGGCACACTTGATCTAATTTCAAAGAGGTGCAAGTTCATCATCGAAAGAGTTAGAATCTGATCTAGTCCGATGGCAAGTTAGCATTATAAGTGAAGTGGTAGCAATTCTGCCCCCCAGAAAAAAGGTGAGAAATGTCCTTCTGGGGTCAGTATCTCAAGACAAAGACAGATTGCTCTGTAGCAGATGGAAGAGTGAAGACCACAGAAAGGGACCCATCTAAATGTCCCTCTGGCCCTGGTACTGGGGGAAAAGAGAAAACACAAAACATTTGATTTTTATAGACTTCCCAACTGCTGAGCTTCTCAATGTTGAGTGCAATGAGGCACTCCACACCCACCATACGCTGATATGCCGTCACTGGTCCACAGAAAGACAGGGAAGCTCAGAGCATTTAGAAGGAGTGACTTGGCAAAGCCATTTTTTTAAAAATCAGTGGAATATAATGAATGAAACAGCTCATGCTTGTATTTTGTATATCTCTGTTGTTTTTCACTTTTCAAGCAACTGGTTTTGGCTGTATTTTGGAAGAAGTATTGATCCACGGTGAGTTGGGAATCTGAGGGTTGGGGGTGGAACAGGGAGTCATTTTGCCTTAGATAGGGTTGCATATCAGCTTGCAAGGATATTGATTTGCCTACAGTTACCTCTTAGGTTAGTTGAATATTAAGATTTTTCAGAAACAGATAATTTTGCCCCTGTGTAATATACTAAGCTCCTTTGATTAACATCTGAATTAATCTAGAAACATTTGAATTGAGGGCCAATGAGATACCACGTAATCAAAACTGCTCTGAGGAACAGAAATAATAATTAACATGTTTCCCTTGAAAAGGGCGAGTTCTGTGGTCAAACAAGTTTGGGATAATACACTCCACCCCAGAGCATCCTCCAGGGAAGGCGGGATGCACATCAGCACATTAAGGATTCTGGAGAGGCCAGTAATTTAAAAAAAAAAAAAAAATGTTTTTAATTACATGCATGTGACCTTTTTTATCTAAACTCATATTAACATGTAATTTAGGAAACGCAATTTTGGAAATGCTGACATAGTAAGAAAATCTCTATAGATTAGTAATCAAAAATCTGTCCTGAGTGTCACTCACTAGCTGTTTTGTTCCTTCATTTTTTTAATGGATCAGACTACCCACCCCATCCCCCTGGCTGAGGGGCAGCAGCACAAAGAGTTAATTATGCAAAACAGCAGGTAAGCTCCTTCAGGGCAAGGAATGGGCTGGAAGCCTTTGTTTCCACAACCCCTCCTGCAGCCTAACACACACAAAGCACTCAGTTGCTAAATTGTCTGTGGGGAATGTTTCCCTATAGTCTCCCAATCCTCCAAACCCCAGAAGGGCCAATTCTGACAGTCCTTTTACTGGGATACTCTAGTGGGAATGGTGTGGTAGGCACCTGTCCACCCTTCCCTGGAATTGCAAGTTAGACCAGGTGTAGAGTCAGGAAGAAGCCCTACACTTGGCAGACACTCCATCTGGGCCCTGTGCAGATTATTTCTTTAAGATGTGGCAGGTAGGAGGTGGGCAGGGCCACAGCAGGGCAGTATTGAGGTTCCCAGGAACACAGCCACCCTCCTTCCTAGACCACCTGCTTGCTACATGCTCCCACAAGACCCACACGTTACTCAGGAAGAACCCTTGAGCTGGATCAATACTGCACTGGTCTTAAGGGAGGACAATCTAAGCACAAATTGCATCAGAGCCTGGAAAGAGAAAGCTCTGTAACAAAGAAATCATGTCAGGGCTTGATGGCCTCTCTTTCCCACCTGACACCACAACCCAGCTCCCATTCAACATCTGGCTCCTGTTTCAACAATCAATAATAACACGTTTTTCCCTCAACTTGCTATTTTCAACTTGTATGGCTCCTGTTTACTTCAAAGATATCCCCCAGAATTTGTGCCACTTGAACAAGGTCATGTGGTCAGTGAAAAGTAGGACAGGGAATTGGTTTTCTCTCCTAACCACCAAACCACGAGGTCTTTGTTAAGGTCAAAATTATCATGAAACATTATTTACATGGTACACAATGAGCTCAGTTCTGCAGCTGTTACAAACACGAGCCACAACATGCAATAAAAAATAAAAAGATAAGGAGCCCCTCCTTGGACTTACTGTTCACGTAAACGTTAAATGTCATGGAAGCGTCCACATCAGGGTTGGACACGAGAAATGTGTACGTGCCTCCTTCAGTCCCTTTTAACCTGGTCAGGTGAAGTTCACTTACATATCTACAAGGAAAGGACAATAAATCAGTCCACAGTGGACACCACCTCCACCTCTGTCCATGTCTTTTTCATGTCTACCAGGAAACAGATGCCTGTTTGGGGAAAAATAGGACTCATTTAATTCAGTATTAACAAAATCCACATTAATGAACTGTACACTTGACTTGGGACAAGTGCCTGCTGTATGGTAACAAAGCTTTGGAAAGGCCTTCTGAGCACCCAGGCAACCTCGAGCCTGTGCCCTCTCTTCCCGTCCCTGGCTACTCTCCTGGCCTTATGCATATACAGCATGCATAAGGCATTTCTGTTGCTACTATTTTATTATAATGTTTTGAAGATCAAGATCAACTAAGAGGTCTGATATAAAAGCCCTTGAGCTCACTACCTGACCCAAAGCTACTTAATGATTCTTAGTTTCCTTAGAGTTTTAAGCAATGAGTAAAGGCATTAACTTTCTTCTTCCTCTGGAGAAAATTATTTATTGTGTCCTGAATCTATTCTGGTCACTGTTTTGGACTACGCTCAGAAGACAGCTACACTCAGAGACACCTCGCCCTTTTTACAAAGGAGAAGACCAAGGCAGAGAGGCGCAGGCACAATGGAATGCCAGATGGGGCCTGGAGAGGCAGCCTTGGACTGCCCTAAACCCTTCCTCATCCCTCCAACCCTTGGTTCAGTGTCTTTTTGTACATTGACAGGTCACAGAAATAGGATCTGGGAAGGCCAGTGGAAGTGGGGTACGTGAGTGACCCCCCCCCCAGCCCAGGTCCCTTTCTTACCTGATATTGCTGTCATTCTCAGACTTGGGGTAATCGTCCCACTTGTTAGCGGTGGTGCTGTTCATGTACATCCACTGCTGGTGTTCCGGTTTGGGGAACGCCTCGTATTCAACAATCAAATCTACATTTTCTCCATCATTTACAAATATCGTAGAATTCATCATGGAGAAGATATTAATAAATCCTTTATCTAATCGTGACAGGAGACAGAAATCATTATCTACCACCGTCCAAGAAAACACACACACACACAAAGTCATCTTAGAATTAAAAAGAGGACTTGCCTGTTGCTAGTTAATCAACTAGCAATAAGCAAGACAAGTTTAACTAGCCCTGATTCATTTTGCTTTACTTCTGTGAAACTGTTGTCTCAAGGTGAGAAGAAACTCACACAGGGAATCCTGACTTGCCAAAACAACAGTTCTTTAAAAGACTTGTCACCATCTCAAAAGGCTTCTCATTCCACTAGTCCCAGTGCTTATTAGGTTAGTAGGTCTTGGGGCTAAATACTTAGCCCAGGCCCAGACCCTATAAATTTATACATAAGATTAAAAAATGTCATGAGTGAAGAAAAAAATAGCCCTAATGTCTACGAAAGATGATGAAGGAATGCCATTTTGTATTTTGTATTTGAAGAAAAATAAACTTAGGTGTCCTCATATATCACTGATAAATCAAAGACCATTTTAATGCAGAATCAAAGCATCTTTTTAATTAAACCATGGTACTGATTCCTCTCAGACTTAAGAGGATGTGGCAGGTTCTAGACTTTTGGGAAACAACAGAACAAAAACATTCTACAAAAGAAATTGGAACACATAAACATTTTTAAATGTCTGTGTAGTAAAGTTAATTGAGGTAACAGGGAAAAGACGACATTAAAATACAAAAGGAAAAACGCTTGGCCAAACTAGTAATTAAAATACCCTACCAGGTTTCCCTTATTAAAAATAGCAAAACTAATTTAGAATAAATTCAAGAATCTTGCAAGTGTGGCAAAAGTAGCACACTGACTCACACACTTTAAACTGGCACAGTTCTTTTAGAAAGCATTTAGCAATATAGATTTTTTAAAATTATCTATTTTTAAATCTTACTACTGTAATTTCCACTTGAGAATTCTTCCTAGAGTGAGGGAGACAGACAGACACAAAAGCAGGGCTGTTGATACTAGTCATAGTAATTTTGAGATGACAAAAATAGACAACTGGTTAAATAACGCAGCCCTAGAAATGGTTATATAAGAAAAAAATAGATCTTGAAAAAGAGCAATAAAATAATTGTCCATATTATTTTTATAGCCACTATTTATGGACTATTTACTATAGGCCAAGGGCTACCTTAAGCACTTTAGCATACATTTTACTTAACAATCATGATGTTTAAATATAATAATGAAAGAGCTATAATCTCTATAGATGAAAAAAATATATAGATTTGGTAACCTCTAATTTATAGACAAAGTTGATGATGACCTCTAATTATTAGATGAAATAGATGATTTACATTTGGCTTAAGAGCTCTGCAGCAGAGACTGGGTTTGAACACAGGTCTGAGAGAAGTCAGGTCTACCTCTTTTTACTACACCATACCCACTCTTACTTTGTGAGAATATAAATAAAATTGTATGTATTATTAGAATTTTTATGTACAAAAATATTATCAGTTTAACAAAATCTTATAAGTAGTTCTATCAAGTTAATAGGATGATAGAGATCTAATTTTATTCTTCTATTTATTTAATTATACAATTTAAAATTACTCATTAATTTTGGTGCTATCTGGGTAAATATATTGAGATCCACGAGGTTGGCATCGTCATTTTTACTGCTCTTTAATTTCCTACAATTTCAGAATAAAAAAAAAAAAAACACACAGTCAAAATCTTCTTTGTCCATTTTACCAATTTAAAAAGGATCTTTCAGGTGAGAATGAAAAATTATCCAAATAAAAACTGGAGAATGATGGAAACCCTGACCCCATTTCATTATTGAATCATAAATGATACCTTGCCATTCTGTAAGCCAATTAAGGTTAATTTTAAGGGACTAAAATATTCATCATATGCATGCTACATTAAAATTTCAGGTTCTCAAGGTCATACATTCAAAAACCGTACACAATGCAAAATATTCAGATATTTCAGACAATATTTGCACTGAAATTATTTCTTTCACAATGACCGTACAGAAAATACTTAGTCTTCTTGAGCTTTCTATAGTCCAGTTTGCTCAATACAGTGAAACAGCTTCAAATCCACAAAATGTAAAAATTATTAAAACTTTACCTTAGTTGCTGTAACAAAAAGAATCAAAGAACTCTATCTGAATTGTTATAACATCAAGTATAATCGTTTTCAAGTACTTATGCATTAAGAAGTTGGTGATACTTGAATATTTTTAATCAAGTATAAATTCTACATCTGATACTTCCATGAAACCTACTTCTGCTTCTCCTTGCCAGTGTGGGAGTTAGTGGCTGTGTTTCTTAGAAGAGAAAATGTAGGTGGAACTGAAGTAGGGTGCATTAGAAAGTTAAGTAGTACAGCCCTCAACTGAAAATCAGGTCAGATTCAAGTTTCTCTAGCCACAAAATGAAAATAAAAAACCATCACTAGGTGGGATTATGGGTATGTTGATATGCTTCATAATAGTAACTTTTTTATTATCTATATCTATTTTATATGTATCTATATCATATCTACATTATATGTATCCCTGTAACATCATGTATAATTTAACTCTATACAATTTGGGAAAATCAGGATGGTCCCAAAGCCACCTTCTCTCTACCATGCCATGTTGGATCCGAATCCTATTCCCAATTGCTAAAAATTTACTTTTCTCTGTCTTTTCCTGTTCCCCTTCCATCCTGAACCCCCTCCCGAAACAATACAAAACCAGAGTCAGATTTCATAGCCACAAGTCTTTCCAGTCACACATTTATAATTCTTGGAAATTGATGAATGGATTTTTAAAATCCGATTACATACAACAATATGCTCAAAACATCCTTACTAATTGCTTTCTCGAGCTGAAGCTGATATATCAACATGCTCCCTAATCAACTTAGCAAATTAGTGCTTATGGAGTTTAATATTTTAAAAGCACAGCTTTCTATTCAAATTAATAAATGGTTCACAATCACATTTAGGGACAAACTGGTATACTTTCTGTGTGCTAACTCTATAATTGCAAGACGTAACTTCTCTGTATTCATTCTGGTGAGATACTGTCCATTAGAACATGGGCGGAAACCCCAAAATTTTGGTGAGATCACCATGGGGTGAATCAGAAATTAGTCACTGCATCATAAATTACTGAAGAAATTTTGGGAGGGGGAGAGATATGTAAACAAATATTACATCATTTCAATATTGCTAATGATGATGAATTCCACCACCCCACAAGTATTTAATTAAAGCCAAGCACTAAGAATATGATTACATTAAGATAATTATTATTGTTCTCAGTAAATCAACTCTGGTGAGGGGGGAGGGGTGTGCGCTAGGATAGAACTCAAGGCCTTCAGGATGCTGGGCAAGTGCTCTACCACTGAGTTACGCCCCCAAAACATCAAGCAACTTCAAGTAACTTACTACGCTTTGCTCTCTGTAAAGAGATGTTTGGAAAACAAGCTGAGTGGGATTTCTAGAGCAGGGAAGATAAAGCTGAACCAACTGTGCATACCAGATAAGATGGGGTCAGGGCAGATGACCCTCTTCTAGGTGATTCTCTAGAACCAGTGCCCCACACCCCAGTGGGCCTCCTTCCTGAAGGCTTATGCCATCCATCATCTTCAAGGTTGCTGACGGGGGAGGTGACGGGGCGCACCAGACAGGAGGTGCCCAACTCTGGATGCACCACAAATGATCACAATGATGGGCAGAGAAACGCTACTGAAAGACTAGAGAAATGTCCTTCCCAATAAAAATAAAACCTACAACCGTTTCCAAACTCAAGTCATTCAGCAAAGACAGAATTTTAGAAAAAGCTCAACGTGTACTTTGCCGGTGAAGGGAGAGTGGGTGGTACACGGAATGACAGGTTTAAACTTCAGAGACAGACTTTTCTTCTGTGAAACTGGTGGAATTCATTTGTGTTGTAGTTGTAAGAGGCTACAGGGAGATTATTCATTCATTCATTCATTCAGTGATAATAAAATTCTAAGAATCTGTTCTTAGAATTCCATTTACATAAAAAGGAAACTATCTAGTAATTTCTTCTTTCACTATTGCCAGTAATTTATACATTCCCATAGAGATATTTACCTACAACTTTCAAGGTTGTTGTGACATTTGCAGATCCAAAAGTATTATTGGCATAACACATGAACACTCCAGAATCATTAACTCTTGCTGAGCTGATAGTCAACGTTTCCTGACGTTCATAATTGAAGTCACCCTGATGCCAGCTATTACGTTTTACCTGTGCTTTAGTCTGCTGGTTTCAGAAGGGGGGAAAAAAAATCAAAGATTACCATATAATTTATATTCAGGATCTTCCTAAATTAAAAATAGCAGCAATTAACTTCTCCATATTAGCATTCATTATACACTACTTAAGTAGGAATAATAAAGCTTCATGACAAGACTGTCATTGGAACTCTTCACATCTTACAGGGTTATATTGAAAGATAGTCATTATTAATGATTGGAAAGAAACATGAAAATTCATTTCAAATTCCCTGCAGTATTATATTTTAAAAGTTACCATATAAGAAATATTACAGAATACTGATATTTTATAATGAGTCAGCACACTTATGTCATGTTAACATTTCCTGTGCTATATTCCAATGATTGAAAGAAAACACATTCGCATTAGTAATGTTCTAGTTTATTAACATTTATTATCTGCCAAAAAAAATAGGATCAAAATGTGGACAACTAACTTGAAAACTCATCCCACAGTTTTGTTTTGTTTTGTTATTTTTTAGTTTTAGGTGGACACAATCTTTATTTTTATGTGGTGCTGAGAATCAAACCCAGTGCCTCATGCATGCTAGGCGAGCACGCTATCGCTTGAGCCACATCCCCAGTCCCCATCCCACAGTTCTTGTACAAGAAAGAGTTCTGAGTAACACAAGACACGAACACCACACTGGAGCATTTAAGCAGAAACTGAAGAGAAAGGGCTGTGAATCTACCCTCGTGGTCTTATCATCTCACTCTTATTTGTCTACAGACAAGGAGAGATTGCATGCATTTAAAATAGCATGAAAAAACCATAGTATAAACTAGAGCAACTCCTTGAAAAGATTAAAAAGAGTCAACGATTGCCAGGCACGTAGTGAGCACCTGTAATCCCAGCAGCTCAGAGGCTGAGTCAGGAAAATCGAGAGTTCAAAGCCAGCTTCAGCACCTTAGTGAGGCCCTAAGCAACTCAGACACACCCTGTATCTAGATAAAATATTAAAAAGGGATGGGGGTGTTGCTCGTAGTTAAGCACATTTGGGTTCAATCCCTGGTACAAAAAAAAAAAAAAAAATGTGTCCACTACTAATCTTCCAAATTTTCTGTAAAGTGCACACACATTCCTATCACAATGAAAATACAAACAACCGGGGCTGGAGTTGTGGCTCAGTGGTAAAGCACTTGCCTGGCATGTGTGAGGCCCTGGGTTCAATCCTCAGCACCACATATAAACAAATAAATAAATAAAATGAAAGATACATTTACAACTAAAAAATATATTTAAAAAAAGAAAGAAAGAAAAGAAACAAGAGTTGATATTGACATGGAATGAAATCAAGGGTGATTCCTTGGCCGACTGTGGCAACCCTAATAGAACACTGGACAGTGCTCTAAGTCAGAACAATCTTCCAGAAAACAGCCTGGCAGTCCTCCTTGGAAAACTCTAGCAAATTTATTTCAAGGAAATAACAACAGATGCCAAAAGCTCCAAGATGCTGACTGCAAGTTAAAACTCAATAGAACCTAAATGACCTATCAGGTATGGATAACAATAAAAATTATGACTATGTAAAAAATGAGGATCTACTAGAATGCACAAAGAGGTCTTTAATTGAAACTTTGTGGGCTGGGGTTGTGGCTCAGCGGTAGAGTGCTTTGCCTAGCATGCACGAGGCGCTGGGTTCAATCCTCAGCACCACATAAATGTAAAATAAAAATACTGTGTCCACCTTAAAAAAAAATAAAACTTAAAAAAAAAAACTTTGGAAAATGTGAAAAGAATTATAACAAAGAAAATGTGACATTTATTAAGTCTGAGAAGGGGGTATGAGGTATTTGTTAGATTAACTTTGTATATTTATAAAAACAAATATTTTTAAAAAAATTTTTAAAGATACATGTTTATATTACTTGAAAAATCACAATTTGGATGTACTTTAAAACTGCAGCCATATGACAATACATATGCATGCAGGAAGAGACAAAAGTAATATAAGAAAATATGGGCTATATTACATTTTAAAGACTAGCCACTTGTAACCACTGCACACTTGTAATGTGGTAGTCAAAACTGAGTTATGCTCTGTGTGTGTGTGTGTGTGTGTGTGTGTAACACATATCCCAGATTTTGAAAACTGAGTATAATAAAAAATGCAAAATATCTTATTAATAACCCTTATGTTAATTATAGGATGAAACGATAACATTTTGGATACACTGGGTCAAATAAGAAAGACATTTTGATTAAAATGAATTTTAATTTTTTTCTTCTTTCTGTAATATACCTACTAGAAAATTTGGAATTATATGAGGCTCATAATATATTTTTATTACACAACACTGAAATCTACAAACATGGGGTTACGATTCTTTCTTTTTTTAAATTATATTTTTGAATTTTATTTTCAATGCTGAATATTAAACCCAGAGCCTTCCACATGCTAGGCAGGACCACACCTCCAGCCCAATTTGGAAATTTGTTTTACATTAATATTTAGGACACATAAAAATTGACTGTTTCTAAGGTGAACAGAAAGGAGAGAAACATGCTTCGCTATTAACTAAGTGTGAGCTCCTGGGAAAGTCAAAGACATCACTAATCCTAGGCCTAGCAGTTGTTCCAAAAGGGTGTGAAGAAACAAATTTATCTTTAAAGGCCTTTCCAGTTTAGAATGCTATGTAGATCTGAAATCACCCCTTCTAAGAATTTATCCTAATCATTGGCAGAATTTTGGCCATTCCACTCAATCAGATCACAGCCAAGTGAAGCCAAGCTTACAAATGCCTTTCTCAAGCCATTGTTCTTCAGATTTCTCTTCTCCAAAAGCAGAGTAACACAGATAGTTCTAGACTGAACATACTAAGTTCTAGATTGAAAAAAATCTTCCATCTATTTCTTTCAAGGGCTTCAGAGTCCACAGGAGGAAGCCAAGCAGCAACCCTGGATGGGTCACTGCCGGATGGGATAACTTGCAATATCCACATTCAACCCGGAGATCATAATTTAGGATACAGTCAAGCTCAGAATTGAAAGCAAGTAAAAATGCTAGAGTTTGGAAGGTTACCAAGCTGAACAAATGTTGAAGGAACTCCAAGACTCTCTTATGCTCAAACAAATAATCTCAGCAACTTTAAAAAGTCATTTTATCCTAAATTTCACTGTGAGATAAACTTAATTCTAAAAGGTCAGGATCAAATATTATAGATTTTTGGAATAATTTGATAGTGCTAACAGCATTCCAAATTAAGCCAGAGGATATCAATCAAAGATTCATGGGTGAACCTTGGCAGACAGCCAGGAGCCCCATCTGCAAGTCACACATTACATATTGTTTGCATGTGATTTGGTTTTCTTTAACCCTTGGAGGTACACCCTGGGATTTCCCCAAGGAGCTCCCAACACTGAAGGCTTATCTACCAACGCCAGTGGATTAATTGGGAATGGCATGCAGGACTCCTGGGAAAAATGGTTCTGAACAAAACCGCCTGGGGCAATTTAATTTCTCATCTCAAAAAGGCTAATTTTCAAGTTATAGAGGCTCAAATGCACATACACACAGTCTAAATTGTTCTCTCATCTGACATCAAGGATTATAGAAAGCCAATTAATATGGGATTGTGTTCCGTAAAGTTAGCCAAAAATCCATACATAAGCTATTGCTTTTATTATTACATTATGTGATATGAAAACTAAAACTTGTTTCTCTCTGAGCCACTGGCTTGAAAGAATAAGTCTCTAATACAATCCATTGTCCAGGTCAATGGCAGGCTTCATTGAGTAAGATATCTATCACAGGTCTACATGAATACCATCAGAAAGTCTGCACTATGCTAATTACCATGGTTATGTTTTTGGCAAAGAATTCTTTAAACAGGCATGAAATTGCCAATGTTGAAAATAAGGCATGAGGAGGAGGGGGAAGAGAGAGGAATAAAATGTAGTATTTCTTTTTAATCTAATGCAGACATGTGTAATGAAGAGAAACCACTGTGATAGCTAGTTAACTAGATGGCCAAGGTTACTCAAAAGAAAGAAAGAAAGAAACAGCTACTGAAAATCTGATCAGTGAGGATTTTAAAGTAAAATATTAGGGAAATTAAGACAGTTGAAAGCCTTATTAGTAATATGAATGTTTAGGGATGGGGGGCGGGGAAGGAAACAGCTTTAAATATCTTGGCTGGAGATGTGGCTCAGTGAGAAAGACCTTGCCTAGCATGCAGGAAGATCTGGGTTCAATCCCAGCACTACCAAAAAAAAAAGCAACAAATAAAACAAACAAACAAAAACCTGGCTAAAATTTGTAAGATACCTAACACAGTTTCTGACATTCAATATCTGTTAAATGAATGAGAACCTAACCATGTCCAAACGTTTTGGATTAAAGAGAACCATTTTATTAATAGCAACTAAAACAAATAGAAAACCATTAGCAACTTAATCTCAGGTAATCAGCCTCAAAGGAGGAAAGCAGATCCATACCAAAAGAAACCTGGCTCTCCCGTGATTAGGCCTTTTTGTAGGGAAAGAAAGAGCTTTCTGGTTCATATTTGAGACCATTTACTCTTTGTAAGTATGGAAGGGAAACATTAGCAACCCCTTCTACTTGAAGTAATCTGGCCTGCATAATACAATAGCTTTAAATCAAGGTATTTATGAAGCTGACCACTCCTTTTCTAAAAAAACTTTCCCTACTGAAGTCATTCAAAGAAACAGCATTAATAATATGATGCTGACGTTCTCGCTCAATAAATTTACAACATGACAGTTACTTGTCACTAATAATAAATGTATATGCAGAAGTACATAAAGGGCAGATAAGCATCTGAACACACTCCCCAACAATTCCAACCAGCGCATGCCAGTGGAGTCCCGCCCAGGACACTCTTAAAAAAACAACAACAAAAACTTAAAGACTCCCATGCAGAACAACATGTTGAGATGAATGAATGGAACAATTCACTCACCAGACTGTTGTCCTTCAACCACATTGAGCCCACGGATGTGGACACATCTTTAATTGTGCATGTCACTGAAAATTCTTCCCCTTCCCTAAGAAGATAGTTTGTTTTGGACACAGACACAACTGGAATAGCTTTGATGGCTGGAATAAAAAGAAATACGGCCCTCAAATCAGTCATTCTATTTTGGCATGAAATTTTAACTTCCCTTTTTTCCCTCCTCAAATGTGCATAGTGTCCTTTGTTATAATTTAAAGTATGGTACTCACCTACTTATATTATTTGCCTATTTGAGGACATCAACAATTATATCATATATCCTTCAAATAAATTAATTACTATTGAGTAGAATAGAATGCCTAATATGAGATTCTAGAAAATGCTTTTTCAAAACAGAAGCACTCCATCCCCCAACCCCCCATCCCCAACCGCCCCCTTGTACAGCAGTTTTGCTCTCTACCTCAGACAATCTTGATGATTTCAGGGGATGGGGCTTACAAGGAATTTTATTCTTTTAACCAAACAGCATCTTTTCCATTCATTACACAAACAATACCTTGCTTGCTTCTGAAAACCACAGGTTTTAAATAATCAAACTTCCCTTCATTTCAAAGAGCGTACTTTCTCAAAAGCATTAATAAAAATGACTTAACAGCTGAATGCCAAATGGTGTTGAATTAGATAATCTCACATACAAAACCTAGATTATCTTCTGGCTTCTGAAATATTCTACATAATGCCACAATAATAACAAGGTCCAGAGTCAATTAATGCTTTCCTTCTCAGATCTGGAATAGTTTGGAAATGTATTAAAATTAATCGGCTAAAGAGAAAGTCAATTCACATGTCAATAGTAAATTAAAGGATGAATCATTGCAAGGTTAATCTTTTCAAACAGCATAATTAAAGTTTCCTACTGGGTTTCTCTTGGTGTGAACACTTGATGCAATTATGTAGCTTTGGGATGACCTAAGCCAGTAGGTTTAATGACCATCCCAATGTGGTCTATGTGCCAATCTATGGCAGACTCCCCATCTCAACTAGAAAATGTCAAAAATGAGTCGCTTAGGGCTGCCACAGTGAGAGCTGACATTAATTGGAAGCTAGGGGACCTAATGAAGGGCCCATGTCCTGATTACCTATGCTAAGGTACACAGTGAAAAGACAGAAGCCAACCACAGGTGAACAGATTCTCAAGTGCCTAGAAAATTGGAAAGACGGTGCCCATACCTGCCCTCACTTTCAGGATCAACCTATCTGACTGCACCAACTTGCCCTTCCAGATGGCAGCGCAGCGGAAACAGAGCCGATGGTAGGTGCGTTTCACGTTCCTGATTGTGATGCCAGCCTTGGGGTCAGGGACAAATGTCAGGTCCTTGGGGAGAGGTTTCCCTTCACATTCCATGAGGGAATAACTGGTCACTTCTGGGTCCGTCACAGGACAGCGGACCAGCGTATCATTGTCTTCTTTCCCATACAGGGGAAGGCCGACGAGGAAAAGCTTATCAGGATCTATAAACATATCAAAAATTAGTAGTTTGAATGGCTGGTCCCAGACACTGAAAACATTCTTAAAAGATTTAAAATGTTGCTTTTTTGTGACAGCAATTCTTAGTGACCCAAATGCCTCTTTCTGTGCAAAGCAGCAAAATTTATTTCAATAATCCTATAGACTTTTCATATGTCAGGCACCAAGGTTGGACCACTACACTCATCATTAGTCTTCAAAATGTCTGTGACCAGTACAACAGGCTGAGTACCCCTTATCCAAAATGCTTCAATCCAGGAGCGTTTCAGATTTCAGAGATTTTTAGATTTTGAAATCTGAGCAAAGACTTTACCAGTTGAGCATCCCTAATACAAAATACAAAAATTTTTGAGTGTCCCTTTGAATCTCAGAAAGGTTCGTATTTCAGAGAATTTAGGATTTCAAATTTCCAGATAAGGTTGACTCAACCTGTATCATTATCTCCATTTGGATAAGAAAACTCAGGTCTCCCGATAGCAAGACTCCTCAAGTGATATACCCTGGAAACTACTGGGCAGAACTCAAAGCCAAGAGTGATAGATCCCAAAATCTGAGTTCTTAAAATCCTGAGAATATTCTATTACAACAGTTGTAAGAAAAGAACAAGGTAATAGCCTGAGGAGCAGCAGTCAATAGGTCAGTCACGTAATTCCAGCTAGGGGCAGGAAAAGGTTCTCCAGAACTGCCAGGCTTCAGAATGGTCAACCTCCTGAAGAGATTCTAGAGAACTCTGGGCAGGCTGTGCAGTCCAAATAACACATGGCCCTCAATATTCATATTTCTCAAAAGAAATGTGGAAGGTAAATAATTTCAAATGCACATGTAGAGCTTAGGAGTTGCAGGACTGTCACTGAGATACTTTATTGCCCAGGCCAGGACATTTGTGAGCAGAAGGGAACACTGTTAATCATTCTGCCAGAACATGGGGCAGAGTCAGGGAAGGAAGGATTCCAACCGACAGGGACCTCATATAAGCAGAGACTATCCTGTGTACTCTGTGGACACAATCCCAGGCCACCCTGTACTCTATGATGAAAATGCAGATAAATGGGTGGGTCAACAGATTACATTAAAAATTGGTTTTTCAAGATGTCCTTTACATCTGGACACCAGGTGTCCCACAAAAATTAATCTGATATCACTGAAATAGAGTTCTATTTTATCATTTAATTTTGAAAAGAAAATTATTCAAAGAATGTCATGGTCACACTATGATCTGAAGAAACTGCAGCTGGTTATTTTTCTCCCTACTGTTTCTCAGTCATCAGCCTCTAGCTCCTCCAACCATGCCCCCCCTTTTCTTCACTGCTATGACATAGATTACTGGAGGACCCAATCACCTTCAATCTGTAATTAAAGGCAGTTCCAAGTTATGGAAGATGACTTTCCTGTAAAGAAAGTTGTGTGAGGTGGGTGAGAGATTTGGCTAATTCAGCATTTCCTCGTATATCCAGTTGTCTACTTGTCCTATTAATAAGTAGGAGCGATGCTTCATTATCACCTGGAAATTACGAGCACCTTTTCAAATGTCACGTGGACTGGCTCAACAATTATGGAACCGTACCCTGAAGCTTAGCTCTGGCTTATCAGTGGACAGTTCTTCTCAGCTACCCACTCAGGAGAGGACAGCTGATAAACTAAGCTGAGACACAGTCAATTTCATAGCAATCTTCCAAGTCAGCTTTATTAACCCTTGATAGAGCCTGCTAGCATTTGAACAATTCTAACAATTCCCCAAGGAAGACAGAACTGGTAATCTTACTCAAATACTGCAGTGAGGAAATAGACTCTTCGGGTAGCTCAGACTGCCCATCATGATAAATGTAGCCACTGTTTATCCACAATATCATGGAGAAGGCCTTGTCCCTCAGGCCTGTTTTTAATGACAGTCTCAGTTTTGGTATGCCCAAGACCAGATGCAGGACTTCATTTCTCCTCCTGTAACTTGAATTTGTCTCAAACCGTCCATAAATCTGTGTTTGTATCAGCCAAAAGATACAGCCCTGCCCAGCTAACCTACTCCTAACAAGATAGCAAAAGCACAAATAGACGCACCACTGAATTCTTCATAGGAAATGAGGTAGAGAAATCCATCCATCACCTTTCTCTTCCTTTTGCTAAAACCTTGTAATTGTTTTAAAGGAACAGTCTTACAAAGAATCTATGACAGACAAGGGATGTTAGCTGTCCAAGTTGTTTTTCCGACATTTATTCTCTAAGAGGGGGCCAAATCTTTTGAAGTGCTGGTTTGTTTAGGCCCTTAGAGGCCTTTGGTTCCCCAAAGTGTTTTTGCTAAATGGGAGTATCTCGTAGCTGAAGGCATTAAAATGTAGCTTTCCTAAAGGGCATAATTTATTCTCAGGGTTTACTTGGAGCACCGGGACAAATGGACTAAACAATCTCATTAAGAAGAGTATCACAGCCTTGCAGACCTCCAGCTGGGGTCACACTCATAGCCACTATGTATCAAGAAATGAGAGAAACCAGCAAAAAGTAAAAAAGGAAAAGAAAAAAATTATCCTCTTGTTTTAGGTTTTCTAGACCCAGTGAGCATAATCTGACACATACCAAGGTGCGGTGGTTCAGACCTAATCTCACTCCCGACTCGGGAGGCTAAGACAGGAGATCTGCAAATTCCAGGCCACTCCAAGGACCCCCAAAATCAAAAATAAAAAAAAAAAAGTTTGGGGGGTGCTAAGATTTTATAGCTCAATGGTAGATCACTCTTGGTTCAATCCCCAGTCCTAGGAAAAATAGATATATTTTTAAATTTGGGTTAGTCATTTATGCCATCAGAAATTAAGAACAGGATGTTAAGTTCCCTGAAACGGAGCGTCGCAGATGGTCAGGCATTTACCTTTAACAAACACATAAATGGAGCTGCTCAGGCCTCCTCGGTTGGTGCAGGTATATTTGCCGGTGTCTGCGGCCTCAGCTTTCTCCCTGACCCATTCATTATGCCTACTCTCACTCCTCTTATCCAGGGTCTCGAAGGTCCATTTGACAAAGTCTGGATCCGTGCATACCAGCCGGAGCTGGTCGCCAGCTCTGACTATTAACTCTGATTGTGCTGGATCGATAGATGGTGGAGACGGTTCCTCTGGACTCACAGATGGTTGGGAAGAGCCTGCCAAGAAAAATAAGAATCATGTTGAGTATGATCTTCCTTGGCGAAATAAAACATTTCTTCCTGTGCCGAGTTTCATCTTCTGTGCTCTCTACAATAAAAATAGGACAAAGCTGCTGGCTATTTATGGCTAGAAAGGGAGTTCTGTCTAGAGAGTTTCTAAAGTTCATCTAGAAAGTTATTTTCTGCAACCCTCAATTAATCCTAAGGGTCACATTTGGTGTTCCAAGCTTGCTAGATGTCACAGCCTTCTTGGGTTAAATACACCACTAGGTCAGGTTTCTATTCTGATTACAGGCCATCGTCATGGTGCCGACAGTTGGGTTAGAGACCACAAAAACAAAGTCTCACGCTACTGTAATGAAAAGCCACCAGTAGATCATGCTTTTGGCAGAATGTACATGACAATGACATCCTTAGTTCTTCAGGCCTTGTGAATTTAGTTATTTCTATATAATTTTCCTTACATGGCAACATTCATTAAAAGGAGAACTATTTAGAATCTCAAGGCAGAAAACGAGAATCCCATTTTTAAGGTCAGATCACGAGACATTTGTGGCAGAAGCTGGGTTTCAACCTGATCAACCTAATAATGTCTAGACAGGTTTCCTCGAGAGGAAGCCAGCATATCTAGTTTAATAAAGACGCAACCCTTAGACTCCAAATACGAAACTTGAACCTGAGAACATTTACAGTAGACAATTCATTTATTCATGCAGGCATCTATGTATTCAAATGTCTGTTCATGAGGATCTGCAAAAGCGTCGTGTTAGGGCTGGGGAAAGTACATGTCATTGAGACTCGTGGTCTCCACACACATTCCAGAGCTTAAAGAACAAACCGCTTATGTGCCAGAATAAGTAAAATATGGCTACAAGTTCAAGTTTTAAGATGAAGACAAAGGCTGGGTGCAGTGGTGCACACCTGGAATCCCAGCAGCTTGGGAGGCTGAGACAGGAGGATTGTGAGTTTGAAGCCAGCCCCAGGAACTAGGTAAGGCCCTAAGCTACTCAGAGAGACCCTGTCTCTAAATAAGACACCAAAAAGGGGGGGGGGGGGGGGGGGGGGGGGGCGGGAGGGGCTGAGGATGTGGCTCAGTGGTTAAATGTCCCTGGGTTCAATCCCTGGTACCAAAAACCAAAAAGATGAAGACAAAGTAAGAGGCAGGCTGGGCCCTGACCTATCAGAACATATCAAGGGGAGGCAAGGAGGAGGAGGAGGAGCTGGCTGGCACTGAGGTTGGCACATGAGGCCTTTCAGACTATAACGAAACCAGCCTGGCTGCAAAACAGGGTTCCTGTGGAGAGGGTGAGACGCAAGGCCAAATATGAGACCAGATCAACCTGCACATCCAGCCCTGCAGACCCAGCCCCGCACACCTGGGAGTAAGTACTTGGAACATCAGTTTTTCACTGAAAAGTGGCATGCACAGCAAGACACCAGAGAAATGACCAGATCCAAGGAAGGAGTGAGAAGTGCTGGTGTGCAGGTGACAGCAACAAGAACCTGCTGACGGAGTCAAAAATAAGAGGAGGAGAAGCAACCAGAGGAAGAACATGCTGTTATAGCTTGTCATGGACGACGTAGGTGACAGGTGCAGAAGAAAAGGTCCCTGGGTGAGGTGGGCCAATACCAATACCTAGGGGCTTTCATTTCCTTCTGTAGGCAGCAAGTCCAGGACAGCAGGGATGAGGAGACAGGGACATGATCAGATGGGGACTGGGACGGGAGAGCAGGTGCCTCTCGCACCTGCCAACTGGTGCATGCAGGGGCTTCTCAGCAGAGAGTGGCTTCCGACCTGAAGTTCACCTGGAGTTCAGATGGTCATGGCACAGAGATGCCCTGTGAAGTTAAAAACCCCAGACAGTATCAAATCATCAAAGGGGGAAAAACAAAAAACCCAGCGCAGGTCTTGCAGGGCTCTACCAGCCAAGAGAGTTGGAAAGAGTCACGAGAGATTTTTTCAAAAGGAAGGAAAGAGAGAGGCCCCAGAGAAGTGGCAAAGACAGTGACACATCAGAGAGCTTCAGAGCTGGGGGCTCTGAGGCAGATGCCACAGCAAGGTCACAGGAAATGGAAAAAAAACACCTTGATTTGGTTACAAAGAGACCATAAGAAATGCAAGAGTGCCACTGGAGCTGAGTGGGAATGTCTCTTGGCTCCAGGGCTGAAAAGCTGCAAGAGTAGACCAGGCTGTGGCCAAAGGAGCTAGAAGGTAAAGGAAACAGGAGACCTACTCACACGTGCAAAGAGCGGGGACAGGACACACCAAAGGTGCTCAACAGAAAGACTGGAGCGGTTTCCGTAGGTGTGTGTACAGATGACCAGTCTGACTCCTCTTCACTATCCAGACAAATACTTTACCCAGAGGCACAAACGTAGCCTCACTGTGTTAAGCAGAGGACACCCCCCATCAAAAGGCTCCCAAGCCACCATGGTTTGGAGAGGGTGACAATAAGGTTGATTATAATCATCAGATGTTATTAAGAACAAACAACATGAGGTGCCACAGGGGAGACCACCTGAGTGTGCAGGGCCCCGCATCCGAACAGAGCAGCCAGGCTAAGGATGAGGGGTGTCTGCAAGTACAGAGGAGTGAAGAAGGAAAAATGGGGGCAGCAATAAACGCAGATGCTATTACTTCAATTAATTATCCCTTTTTAAAAAGAAGGAGCTCTATGTCAATACGCTCGTGGTAGTAAATTTGATCCAAAAATTCCAAAAGGATGTACACTGCCATGTATTTCCATCCGTTCAAACTCTTCATGAGTCCATGTTACGGGCTCACAGAAACATGATTCATTTATTAACCAAATAAAGATTGCTGGCCTCTCCAGACTTCCCAGGGCCAGGTGGGAGTCCTAGCTGTGGGACTTAAGGTAGGTCATCTGAACTCTCTGTGTCCAAGTTTCCATGCCTGGCACACACAGGAAAATGAAAATATCCTCATTTCATAGAGTTCTTAGGACAATCAATGAGGTGTGCAAACAGGGCTGGGAAGTTTTCAATAAGTACCAACAACCATGTGGAACATTCTAACAGACTAAATAAAAGCATGTCTAGACATACACCCTGGCAGTGCCACCTACTGCGTGTGCCGTCTGCGGGCGAGTTACTTAATTCTGCCTCAGTTTCCTCATCTGCAAAGTGGGGACAGCAATTATAAAGTTAAAGTATGAAGCACTGGGCTCTGTCTCAGGCACTCAGAAAACAACAAATGTCAGGCGCATTTATTCTAGAAAGAACCTCTTATCGCCCCTCCACATCGGTCCGGTCTTAGCCACTTCCTATTTACGTGCAGGGCTCCCGTGGTGGCCCAAGTGGGTTCCTGCCGCCTCCCCTCTGCAGCAGCACATCCTAGCCATCACTCCTCTGGAGGCTCCATCACACGTCCTGGGCCCTTTTCCAAACCCACTGTGGCAGCCCAGGCAAGCTATCTTCCACCTCACAGGGAGAACACCCCGTCCCCAAACACCTCCCTGCCACCCCGACTCCACCTCGACCCACCTCACAACCGAGGCCATCAGCCCCAACACCCCTTCTTAACCTCTGTGCTCGGCCTCAAGGCTCTAACGGGGCGAGCCTGGCCTCGGTTAACCTGGGAAGCACTTTCCCAGGATTCCTCTCCAGCTGCTTTCCTCAACCCACAGGCCTCCCCGGGCTGCCAGGTTAAGGATCCTGACATCCTGATGGCACTCTTCGTTCCTTCACCCATCTTTCTGTCCACCTCTTCCCCTAGGAGACACCTTCTCTACCAGCCAGCTTCCTGTCACGTGGAAAGCCCAGCTGAAGGCAAGACTCGTGACAGATGTCCTTCCCTGACCCCTCCTGGTCAGGATAACCTGCCCTCACTCAGCTCCACCACCTACTGGGCGTGTTCTGGTGCTCACCAGGGGGCGGCGTCCATGTCTTACCTCCTGAGCCCCATGCAAGGTCTTCGAGCCCATAGAGCCCATAAGTGAGCATCCAAACTGTGCTCTGTCCCCTGGCACAGTCACAAAAAGCATCCCCTTCAATCCCTGATCATATAAAAGACCCAAGGGAGGACAGGTTCCTGAATACCCAGTCCCTTGCACAGAAGCCAGCAGTCCACTGCCCTGTCCCCCAAAGACGTCATATGTCAATTCTATGCTCCACCAAGAGAAGAGTGGCTTATTTCATTGATTAAATAGTTACGGGCAACTGCAAAACGGAGGCCTGCAAATGAGACCAGGACCTCGTTTTACTTCCAGTTTAACAAAATCATTTAAAAATTAATGACCAACAGCTGCATTCAGGATTTTATTTTTCAAAATAAATGTTTTTTTAGTTCAATTCTCAGATTCACACTATAAAATGAAAAGAGAGTTTTGTTAGTGTGGGACTGTGGGTAATGTTTATTCTCTTGTTTCCAAACTATCTGGAATGTTGTTATAATGGTCTCACAGTTAAAAAAAAAAAAAAAAAAAAGAGAGAGAGAGTACGGATTAAAGGAACATCTTTCAAATAGGTACTACAACTAAGCTTTGAAACTGCTCTGAAATGACACATTTTGAAGTGTTTCTGGTACACAGCAAGTTGTCAACAAATGTTTGTTGAATTGTGTTTTATCTATATTGGGACTTTTTGCAGTAGTAAATGTACTTCCTTAATTATGTTTGGCTAAAGCCAATATCAAGAACTGTTTTCTGTTCCCTGAACATATGTTAATTAATGAACCAAAAAGAAAATGATAGATGTCAAAACTCAGCACTCTGGGGAACAACTCCTCTAATGAATACTAGGCTAGGAAATCCAGGTACTACTCAGTAAGTACTTATCCTGGGTACCTTGCTAAGTACTGAGCCAAAAAGACAGTACTTGCTTACAAAAAGCATAAAGACAGTCCTACCACAAAGGAGGTACTAGTGAACAGTCAACGATATCAGATTTTACCAACAATACAAAGTAGAAGAAACGCCACCACATCTTCTGCTCAAAGCTTCATAAGGCACTTTGGCTGTTCACCCTGCTACTGGTAT